TCAAATTAGCTTCACAAAATCAGTTCCTTTTCCTCTAGTGGGGTATAAGGCAGGAAAAAAATTGATAGCTTTGATTGGGAAATACAAGCTAGTGTAATAAATCAAGGCAAGAGTCGTCGTAATAGTCTCGACCGTGTTTACTCAAACTTTACTCTTTTTTGACCACCAGGTCCTAGCCCTAGTTTTACATCATGTAATACGACACGAAATGTCCTCTACTCTACACTAGCTTCATAGGCTTTTTCTTTTTCCACAGAGCTCAGTTACGTCAGGTCACCGAAACGGTGCAGTGTTTGGTTGTGGGAACAGTGGGGCAAGGTTAAAAAAGTGGATGAGTAACCCTTGCTCAGTTCATGAGTGTAATCAAGGAACAAGCCAATGTGACTGTGCCCCGCCTTTCACTTTGTTTCCCTTTCCAACCCAGTTACACGATATAGTGAGAGAAGACAGCAATGGATTAAACTGGTAAACAGAAAGGATGAAAAGGGGCGAAACTGGCAACCTAAGAGTGATTCAAGAATATGCAGTATTCACTTCCCAGAGAGAAGACCCACAATTCAAAATCCTAACCCTACAATAAATTTAGGATATACATCTGTTGCAAACAGTAAAAAAGAAAGAAAGAGGCCATTAGTTAGTGAAACAACACCTTTAACTTAAAAGGCATGTCATGAAAAGAGTACTTCGGAGTCTCCTGCATTGTCCTATGACGAGCCATCAGCCCCTTCACACCCTTAAAATTCAGAGAAGATTGATACACAAGTACATCACAATAGTGGAACTGGTGACAACTCTAGTCAAACTGATGTTAATACACAGGTTAATAATAATTGTATTTGTAATGATAACACTATAAAATCTGAAAACAACTACCACAGGAATGACAAGAATGTAAACATAATATCTGCTAAAGAAAATGAAATACATTTCTTAAAAAAGCTGGTGGAAAAAGAAAGGAGGGAAGTTGCATTTTGGTGAAAGAAATTTGTAAACAAGCAGCCACCAGCGTTTAGAGCCAAACCTTTAAATAATGACAAAAAAATTAAGACTTTCCTTGGATTACCAAATAAGGCAGCCTTTGAAGTCTTATTCAAACTGCTTAAGAAAAAAGCTCCAAAAATAAAATACTGGCAAGGTCCAAAAAAGTATTCTTCACAAAATCGCAGGAATTTCTCAAGCACACCAAAAAAGTCCAGACCTAGGAGGTTATTGTCTGTCAAAGATGAACTTATATTGACACTTATGAAACTTAGACTAGGGTCCTTGAATGCAGACCTAGCTCTTTGCTTTCCAATATCTGAGACAACTGTAAGCAAGGTAATAAACATGTGGGTTTGATTCTTAGCAAAGGAGCTGAAGTGCTTAATCTACAATCCATCGAAAGATGTTGCTTTGCAGCGCTTGCTAAAAAGTTCAACAATGCAAAGTACAGGAGTGTTAGGCACATCATAGATTGTACAGAAATGTTTATTGAAACTCCAAAGGAACCCAAGGTGAAAGCTGCAACATGGTCAGACTACGAACATCATCATACACTGAAAGTGCTGGTCTCCATAATGCCATGTGGCTCATTTAATTTCATTTCAGAGGCTTGGGTTGGTAGAGCATCAGATGTTGCTGTTACTCGAAACTCGGGTTTCTATGACATTCTTGAATATGGGGATGAAGTCATGGCAGACAAAGGGTTCACCATTGCAGAGGATCTTTTAGTAAGGCATTGCCGATTACTCATCCCTCCAGGAAAAAGGGGCAGTGAACAAATGAGAAAGGAAGATGTTACAAAAACAAAAGAGGTTGCTAATTTAAGAATTTTCGTTGAGCAGGCAATTCGCCGACTTAAAACATTCAAAATATTGAAGCATGAAATGCCCATCTTACTCTTGGATAAATTTGATGATATTGTCACTATCTGTGCAGCACTGTGTAACTTGTACCCAAAGCTTTGCACTTCCCAGGTGCATGGCTGTAGATACAGGTTGCTCATGCAACAATTATGTGAGTTATGAACAACATCCATTAAATGAATACAACTACAAATCACTAGTGTGACAAAAGTTCTGATGCAACATAATTCTTGAAAAAAAATTCGAAGTTGCTAACTAACTTATGCCAATAACTCTCATCAAAATAAATTCGTTGCATAAAGTAACCAACACAGGTGAAAACGAAAAAATCACAGTACGTTGTCCTGGCCAAAGCTAGTTACCCTTGTATTTGAGCATAATATGCATGCTCTTTTCTAAGCATTGTGACATTGTCATGTTCCACAAGGTAGCGGAGATTTTTTGCAGACGGTATCTCATTAACAATAGAAAAAGGACTTTTCATTTCTGATAATCCTATTCCACAACAACTGCAATGGACTAGTAAATCTGGAGATGCCCCCAAGTAAGGTCTTGATGGATCAACAAATAGCCCACTTTCTGAGAATGTGAATTCCCTGTGATTGCACTTCTTTAAAGATATATACTTTTCTTTTGCAATGGGCTCATATTCTTTA